AGTCACTGTCAGAGAAGCCCTAATCAATGCGTTCTCACTACCGGGGTGCTATTTATAAGATTGAGGAGACGAAAGGCGAATGTATAACAGGACTCGAACAAGTTTTTGAATAAGGAGGATCAGTTCTGATTACAAACAAGTGATTCACATAGACTCCATAATCCTGAAGGAACAAGTGGCGTATAAACCTACCGTTGGTTACTGGCTACTATGAGACTACGCTTTCTTATGTTGCGCCAATACTTTGTAGATAAGACTTTTAGGTCGAAGGCTCGGGGAGTGACCTCCTAAAAAAGCTACCTACTTTGGTTTGAGTACACAGGGCTGTAACCTAGCGCACACGCAAACTTCATGATTTGTTTGGCACATAAATATTTAGGTGCCTGTTTGTGTTTGAACTATAAATGATCGTCACATAAATTATAAATCGAAACTTAAATACGACGATATGTCTTGTCCTCAACTATCTTGATTAGTGTTTTCAGAAAAAAGCAAGAGATTTGATGGCATATGGAGCATATGAAAATATATACTGATCGAGGAGTGGGAGGATTTACTGATAACGAGATGAAAGATATATCATCAGAAAAGAGATGACTATTTTATTTGAATAAGGAAAATGTTTAAACTATATCAGAAAGAAAAATGAAGTTATTATAAGGAGGGTGACGACTTGAATTTGAAAGTTTGCGTCATAAAATGATTTTTGTTAGACAAACAGTGAAAATAAGGATGCACTGAATAGCTATTTTTTTCTAGTATTGCACTCCTCAGCAGTACAGACGCCTGAATCCACGAAGGGCCCAATTTAGAACTTATGAGACTTGTGGTGAGCGCTTAAGCCTTAGATCACTGAGTTGGAATCTGGTGACGATCATCTATTGTTTATTACAGTGTATGCATTGAGCTCCACTTCGATGAACTCTATTGGTCACAGCTTCTCACCAAATTCTCGGAAATCACCTTCTAAAATTAGTCACCTATAAGCAGATAATGGCTATTATAATGATATGTTGTGGAGATTATGATATTCAAAGTTTTATGTGACAGAATGATTGTGTTTGATCAGTCGTAGGGTCGCAGATGCACAGTGTTGAAGATACTAAAACGAAAGAGCTATGTAGTACTCTCTGGTGTTGAGGGTGTGTAATCTTGAAATACTATATTTACAAAGAAAACCAATTTTAGGATTTACAAATAAAGTGAACTTCATTCATGGACAGCCCATATATATTCTCACATGTATCGATTCATTCAGTATACAATTCATTTATTTTATTTTCATGATATCAATTAATGTACAGTGATTATTTGTATTGTTCCATTCATAAACTATGATCATTTTAATCCAAGTGTAATTGATTGACTTTATGATTTTTCATTATCGAGTTATGAAGATTGTCGTTTTTCATTGAAATCATGAATTGACTATTGTTAGACCATCATTAGAAACCTGAAAGCACTGGGAGACGGTCGTTTCGTCCTGGTTATGGGACTCATCAGCATTGCACATCCAAGACTCTAGCTACTCGCAGAATTGGAACCCGGGAACTTTGGTCCTGAGCGCAAACACCTAACCTCTGTCTAATTGTTATTTGTTACCGATTACTAATAACTCCATTTCAATCTTTGTATATAAATGTATGAATCTCATACATTTGAATACTGAAGCTTATTTTCAGATAACAAGATTTTTTTATGGATAGAAGCATGTAAGCCATTATAAGGGATATATTTAATAAATTTACATAAGAGAAAGGATTTAATTCGGTTGGGGCATATTTAAGTTTCACTTTATCGAAGATAATGCAAATTCTACCTTTGGACAACTCGAACATAAGTATGCTGTTTCGTTCCAGTGTGGGACCCATCAGTAGGGCTCACTAGTGACTAGCTTCGTGAGGAAATTCTAGGAGTTGAAGTGAGAAGCCATGATTAGTGGAGTTCAAGGTTGTCCGATATAGGCTGTTACCTGCCGAAGGACAACGGGTGAGGTTGCGCAATACCTTGGACGTTGATACCATCGGATGCCGGTCCAGTGGCCTAGAGGTTAGGCGTTCGCGCACAAGGCCAGTCTTGGGTTAGATTTCCGCGTGCAGGGGTTGTGAATACGCACTGCCAAAGAGTTCCACACTAGGACGAAACAGCCATCCATTGCTTTCATATTCCTAATGGTGACTTCACAATAATCAATTCATGAATAACTTTACTTCGAAACATATTGACATTTCGTCTCAAGTTGTGTTTGGACTTTGAGACCAGTCGAAAGGAATGAAATCTTAGAGAATACTAGTCCATACTAGAAGATTTAATATCTGGTTTTTAACGTTTGTCTGATTAAAATCGGTCCTGTAATGTCAAAACTTTAAAAACAATCAAGGTGGCAACATAAACTTTCCAATTAAAAAAAGTATAAAAAGGTTCATCATATTGAAACTCCTCTATAGTTTGATTAATTGCTAATAAACCTATCGATAAATAATATTTGATCCCAGTTCTCACCCAAAACTAATCATTCTAATGAATATTGAAACAAGGGAGATGTGAACAGACAATAATCAAGAATATTGGATTACTTTTATCTAACTCAATAATTTGAGTATGATTATTCCACATTTGCCTACTACTTGGAATGTTGAACTATTGACAAAAACTTTTTTAATCGTATTTTATTATTCTTACTTCTTATCAGTACACCTCTGTCTTCCTACTACAACGTGTACTTTTACCTGTTATGTGTAGTTATGTAATCTATTTCATTGTGATGATTGAATCAAATTACTTTGATTCAACTCAATAATTAAGTATGAATTTAAGTATTCGACTTTGAATTACCCTTACATGGAACCCTGAAGGCAAAAGGAAAAGAGGAAGGCCAAGGAATACATTACGCCGAGAAATAGAGAAAGACATGAGAGGAATGAACAAACATTGGACAGAACTGGAAAGGGAAGCCCAGGACAGAGTTGGTTGGCGAAAACTGGTGGGCGGCCAATGCTCCATTGGGGGTAACAGGAGCAAGTAAATAAGTAAGTAAAGTAAGTAACTTTGAATTACATATTTAGGTATGAAGATCTTAGTATCACTATTATTATGATATCCAAAATAAGAAGTAGACAGTCAGAAGTGATCCATCCAAAAGTTAAATGTTTTTTTTTTCAGCTATTAAACTCTGATTATGATAAAATCAAAGAAACTAGTTTAACGCATAGAAATTGAGAAACTGGAAGTGGTTTTGTGAAGATTTACCTTGTAGCATCCATACACTTCGTGCAAATTTCAATTCTTCTAGAACAACAGTAAGACGTTTAACACCGTCTAAGCATTAAAAAAAACAAAACAAACAAAGTAATAAAATAAACTTAACAGATTCCAAATGACATTGTTTTTCGATCAAAAAATGTACACTTTTCATTGCCCTATTTTGTTGTTCTTTTAGCTATAAAAGAAATTTAAATAAGACAAATTATATCTTAGAAGTATTTATTGAGATAGTTTAGAAGTTTGAAAGACAGACAAACGGACAGATACAACACAGAACTTCGTATGTAAGTACATCAGTTCAGGTTACCTACCATACTACATCAGCGAACAGACGCAACTGTCACTTCAAATCCAACAGTGATAGCAATAATAGAAGTATTAGCAGTAATGGAGAAGATTAGGGTTCGAAGATATAATTCGAGAAGTATAATTCAGTGAGATAAATTTCGAAGGAGAAAGATAAAGATGATGAGGAATGAAGAAGTTTAGGATTTGAGACAACATAAAAAGTGGATGCACCTGCGCCATTGTAAACGATTCTGAGCCATGTCGTTCAAGGTCTCTAACCATCGGTGACTATCATCTCACGGACCCCAACCGCTCCCAATCACTAGTTCAGGTGCCGATGAAACCCAATCTTGAAGCAATATTTTGCATTTCGAGGGTGAGAAACGCATCCCGAACATGCTTGCATTGTTGCTTAGGGTGGTCAGAAGACTCTGCATTCAGAAGTTTGAGGTTAGATAAACAGTCAGACAGTCAGTTGCAACGTAGAACTTCATACGTATGTACATAAGTTCATGTTGCCATACCACATTAGCACATACACACAAATGTCAAATCAAATCCCATAGTGATAAAGATAGTAGAGGTATTAGTGGTAATGAAGAAGACTAGGGTTCTAACATATCATTCAAGAAGTATAATTCAATGAGATAAGGTTAGAAAGACAAAGGTAGAGGTGCTGACGATTCCAGAAGATTAGGATTTGAGAGAGCTCAAAGAATGGATGCACTTGCACCATTACAAACGATTTTGAGCAATGTCGTTCAAGGTCTCTAACCATTGGTCACTTTCGTCTACATCTATCAACATGACTCAGTCCACTAGTCAGTGACTTCATGCATTTCTGCCATGTTTTGGTTTGGCAACCCCTAGCTTTCTTCCAACCTACTCCTACATCACATAACATAGCTCGTCGAGACAGTCGGTGGTTAGGCATTCGTAACACATGTCCCAACAAACTCAACCGATTAATTTTCACTACTTCATCTATTGATCTGCCATCGTTACCTAGTACTCGTTTCCTTGTTAGATAAACAGTAGATTTGAGTTGAAACAACAGTCTGATAAGATAATGATCACTACTGCTTTATTTTTAATGAATAGAAAAACCAATACTAAAATGGTTTTAGGATTATTACAACTTCAATATTCTAATTAAAATGATTTTGAAGTATTCGGTTGTTCATATAATTGACTAAGTGTATCGTTTGCGGACAGCTTCGATATAACCGCTTTTTATATGTTTTTTTATGGAAGGGATGAATAGTGACTCGCAGTGGAATTCAGGAAGGACTAGTGTTTCATTCTAATTAAGACTTGTCAAATGGATGTTACCTGATGAAATTCAGTCAATAGTATCAACGATAATGGCGAATTGTATATCGCTAGCACAGTTGAGTGGTTATTTGAGCTCATTCATTTAATGGATAACGCGCTAGGCGTTTGAGGTGAAAGATGATGAGGTCTGAGTCCTGAAGTGAATATCAAGGTACATCGAGCTGAAGAGTCTAAATTAGGATGAAATGAGCTTTCTAGATTCAACTACCAGTCATAATTCATCTCCTTTATAAACACGAGTTATTATTCAAGATCTAGTACAGTAGACGTTGAAGTTAGCTTTTGATCAGTGTAATTTTTGTAGTTCTTCCCTGAATTATGGTCAGGCAAACTTAAAAAAATAAATGAATATATACTGAAATGTTTATAATGAAGCTGGTAAAATATTTTCTCTATATTAGTGATTCTGTTATTCAATTAGAAAATGCAAATATACATCAGAATTCGATAAAACAAAAAAAAGGAAGTTTGTATCACATACATCGACATACACACACACATACAACCAATTTAAATCATAAACATGCTAAGCAATCAATGAAAACAGAATCTTTGAAAATTTTATTCGACCTTTTTACTTATTGAATAAATTGATTAAGTTTACATCATATGATTAGGGTTTAGTAGTATTTCTTGAAATTGTTCCATAAAATTCAAAGACCGTTTATAATTTCATATACGTATCTCAAACGAGTGGTCGAATTCAAATGCAAGCTTAAATAAAAAAATCAAATTATCAATTTGATGTAATTACCCAACTAGGTGTAAATAAAAACCTACTCAGCTTACATATATATATATATATATATATATATATATATAGAGAGAGAGAGAGAGAGGTATAGTTACTTTTGTCTCTTGTTGGTCATCCGGACTGTCAATGTCATTTCAAATGTTACTTCCTATTGTTCGTCTTAACTGTCAATGCCACAGACTTCGATGCTCTTTCCTATTCGACCAAAATGTATAAATACGCATTATCTGTAATATTTGATGACCACGACCAGGACCAGGGTTCGGTCCCGGATCCCTAGTCCGGGAGACTGATTCTCTTCTGGATTCGGACCTCGTACTTTCTGGATGCTTGTAAAATACATGTTCTACTTCATATCAAGTCTTGTCTTATTTTACTTAATATGGGGGTTGGGATAATCGGATCGTGTCGCCGGATACTCGATCCTCGCTCTCGTTTTCCCGACTAGGTAAACTCGTAATAGTTCAAGTATATTAAGTTGACGTGTTTACGTCCAGGCGTAACAGTTACATAACTTTCGGGCAGAGTTTTGGAGGTTTGTGTTTTTATACATTTGAAATCATCAATTAATCAATCATTGTTAGATGACCACCATTAGAAACCTGGAAGCACTGAAAGACGGCCGTTTATAGTCCTGGTATGGGACTCATCAGTGGCAGTGGGCATCCACGACTCCTGCACCTCGCAGGACCTTCGGTATTGTGCGCGAACGCCTAACATAAACTGGTATATTCACGGATTATGCATAGACAATTATTATTATTTGCAAAAGATTTTGAAGAAATAAATCCAATTTAAAGATCTTTTGGATAAGCTAAATACTGTAGTTAGAAAAAAAGTAAGTTGAAAAATTGACCTCCTGTTAGTAAATTTTTAACTGTAAAGATTTTATACAGCTCAGCTAAAGAATCACTGAAAGTCATAGAGCAATGTCTATTTTAAATAAACTAAATCATGAATGAAGAATGAGTTGTGAACAAGGTTGAACCGGGGAGGCACAACTATTCATTGACCCAAATTATTATTATCTAAATAAATATAGTAAGAGGAGATTGAAAAAAAAAATGAGAAACAAAGAATCAGAAGGATTAAGCTGTGTCGAAAATAAGTTCAAGTTGAAAATGTGAATCAGTGAGGGGTGGGGAGGTATAAGAATTACGCGTTCATCAAGCCAAATCGATATACTAGGCTGAATCTTGATGAAGACGTGCGCCGTAGAGAGGTGTCTTCACGCAAAAAACAAGACATCTGCTTAGTGCTATGATAGATTACGCTTATTCTGCATTCATGATGAAATAAAAAAGTTATCTAACGAGAAATTATTCATTTATATGGAAAATACTTACTCATATATTCTAAAAGACCATCTTCAGATCGATTGTAGTGTTGTATTGTTTTCTATTAATAAAAACAAAAAAAAAATTGAACACGTCTAAAGTGATATGAATAGTCAATTGAATAAACAGGGTAATTTATTTCATTATTAATCCTTACTACAAAGATTTCGCTGTTACGCCTGCACGTAAACACGTCAACTTGATATACTTGAACTATAACGAGTTTACCTAGTCGGAAAAACGAGAACGAGGATCGACGATCCGGTGAAACAACATGCTACTCAAATCCGATTATCCCAGCCCCCATATTGAGTAAAAAATAAGGCAAGACTTGATATGAAGTAGAACATGTATTCTACAAGCATCCAGAAAGTACGAGGTCCGAATCCAGAAGAGAATCAGGATCACGGACTAGGGATCCGGGACCGGGTCCTGGTCATAAAACTTTACAGATAATGCGTATTTAAACATTTAGGTCGAATAGGAAACAGCATCGAAGTCTATGACATTTGAAGTGACATTGATAGTCAGGACAACCAATACGAAACAACATTGGAGCACGTGACATTGATATCTAAGACGACCATAAAACTGACCAGTAGAAATTAACCAATAGGAATTAACCAATAATTCTCTTATGATATTGGATGAATATCCTAACAGGAGCTATGGAGGTATAATTTATCAACTATATAACCACACTCCTAACAATTTTTTTCAATCTGGACAATTGTGCATTATTTCCACTCAAGAAGTATAAGTAACACTGTATATGAATTAGTAATTACTTTTCCACTTACAAAGTAGCATTCAACTCACCGTATAATGAAATAAAGACGGCAAAGATAATTTAATGATCGGGACTTCTAGCTTTAACACCTAAATCACGAATTTAACTCCTGTTCATTCATCACACCAGTCAAGAAATTAATGACATTTAAAAACAGTGAAACAGGTGGGTAGAGCACTTTGAATACCTCTTGAATAGACCAGCCCCAGTGAACCTACCGAACATCGAAGTAGCACCCACGAACGTCCCAATTAATGTCGTCACAACAACAAGTGTAGCAATCGGTATGGCCATCAAAAAAAAAATCAAGAACGGCGAGACAGATGGATCAAACAACATTCCAGCTAAGGCACTGAAAATATGTTCCACGCTCTCTTTAGCAATATTTGTGAAGAGGAGCAAATATCAACAGACTGGAAAGGACACGTCATCAAGATAGCAAAGAAAGGCGGTTTCAACAACTATCAGAACTACAGAGACATCACTCTACTCTATACATCAGGAAAAGTCTTCATCAGAGAGTTGTTGAACAGGATGAAAGATTCGGTAAATACCCAACTTGAAGATCAACAGGCTGAATTCCGTAAAGATCGATCATGTACTGACTGAATTGCACGCTACAGTAGGGATCAACGTGGAACAATCAACTGAATGAAACTCACCACTGTACATTAGCTTCATTGACTAAAAAAAGCATTTGGTAGTAAGGACAGGAAGACACTATGGAGGGTTATTTGACACGATGTACCTGGGGAGATATTAAACAACTTACGGAATTGTTATGATATATTATACTGCAAGATCGTGCATGGAGTGCAGGTCACAGATTCGTTCCAAGTAAAGACCGGGGTCAGAAAAGGTTGTTTACCCTCACCCTTTCTATTTTCCTGGTGGTTGACTAGATTATGAAGATGTTAACATCTGAGGGGAAGAACGGCAATTAGTGAACAGTTCAGATGAAATTGGACGACCTGGACTTCGTATATGATCTAGCTCTTCTATCTCACACGCAAAAACAAGTGCAGTGTGAGGTGATCAGTGTAGTGACGGCCTCTGCAGAAGTAGGTAACGACATACACAAAGGGAAAAGCAAGATTCTCCGATACAACACAACATGCACCAACCAAATCACACGTGACGGAGAAGCTTTGGAAGACTTAAAAATCTTTACATATCTGAGGAGCATCATTGATGAGCAAGGTGGATCTGATGAAGATGTAAAGATACGAAATAAGAAAGCAAGGGCAATATTTCTACAGTTGAAGAATATCTGAAACTCAAGACAACTATCAACCAACATCAAAGTCACTACTTTCAATACAACTGTCAAGAAAATTCTATCATATGGAGCGGAAACTTGGAGAACTACAAAAACCATCCTCCACAAGATACATGTGTTTATTAACAGTTTTCTACGCAAGATACTGCTCATTCGTTGGCCAGATACCATCAGCAACGACCTATTGTTGGACAGAACAAACCAGATTCCAGTAGAGGAAGAAACGCTGGTGGAAGTGGATAGGACACATATTAAGGAAAGCACTCGATTGCGTCACGAGACAAGACCTAACTTGGAATCCTCTGTACTAAACTAGAGGAGAAAGATCAAAGAACACATTACGCCGAGAAATGGAAGCAGGCGTTAGAAGAATGAATAACAATTGGATAGGACTGAAAAGGCTCAGGACAGAGGTGGTTGGAAAATAATGGTCTGTGGCTTACGTTCCATTAGCGGTAACGGGTTGGACAAAAAAAATACAAGACAAGTGGAAAAGTTGTTTCTAAAATGACTGTACACTTACTGTGCCCATGGAAATTATCAAATGAGTTGGTGTAGAAATGCCATCAGTCTTTTTATTCTGTATATTAGACTCAGTAACGTTGGAGACATTTGTAGGACCAATCCATGATTTAACTAATTCTAATGTATCATCAGTAATTTCGTCATGATGGAAAAATCTCTAGAAAAAAATCAAATCCAAAATAATGATAATAGTTATAATAATAATAATAACAGTTATGATCAAATTGTATACAAAAGCGAAATAGTAACCTTAATAAACATATATCGTCTTGTTTACTAGATTCAGTCAGTCAGTCAGTCAGATGCAACGTAGAACTTCGTACGAAAGTATACCAGTTCATGTTGCCATACCACATCAGCACACAGAGATATAATTGTCAATTCAAATACAATAGTAGAAGAGGTAGTAAAGGTATTGGAAGTAATCGGAGAGGTTAGGATTAGAAGATATATTATTCAAGAAGTATGATTCAGTGAGAAAAGTTTAGAAAGTCAAAACTAGAGGGGTTGAAGAATCCAGAAGATTAGGATTTGAGAGAACACAAAGAATAAATGCACCGGTGCCATTGCGAACGATTTTGAGCCATGTCATTCAGGGTATCTAACCATCGATTATTATCATTTCGCGGACCCCGACCAGGTAGTCGACAACTACCGACATGGCTAAGTCCACTCGTCAATGACTTCATGTTTACTAGATTGATTCAAACTTATTATAAGGGAGTTCGAAATGATTACCAAAATAGTTAAAAATTATAACTATTAATAACTACAGAATAAGGGATCTTTAAAAAAAATGCACAAATTTACAATATCTGAGTATCTTAATCTGAAAATATGACAAGTCGGGAGATACTCTTCTATAGTATTTCTACTATCATTGAGTTCTGAAGTCAAAGCGATGGACTTTGGAATGGTTTTAACGATTAGCTTTAAAGTCATAACTGTAATATGTATACATAGTTTAAGAATCCAGATCATTTTAAATCGCTTTCCTAAACCTGACATTCAGTCTTAGTAAGAATTTTTAACTTCCGATTGTTGGTTTTCAGGACTGAAAATCATCATCAGCATCAGTAGTAGTATGTGTATCCTGAGTAGAATCTTCCGATATACCCTCTAGTCGCAAATATTAGTCAGTCAATCAGTTACAATGTAGAACTTCGTAAGTATGTACATCAGTTCAGGTTGCCATACCATATTATCACAGAGACGCAATGGCCAGTTCAAATCCCATAGTGGTAGAGATAGCAGAAGTATTAGTGGTAATGAAGAAGATTACGGTTCGAAGATATTATTCAAGAAGTATAATTCAGTCAGATAAACTAAGAAAGAGAGAGGTGATGAAGAATACAGAGGATTAGAATTTCATAGAACGCAAAGAGTGGATTCACCTGAGCCATGGCAAACGATTTTGAGCCATGTCACTCAAGGTCTCTAAACGTACGTACGTACGTACGAAGGTCTACGTTGCTGTTGATTTATTGACTGATTGAGGTCTCTAACCATCGGTTACCATTGTCTCGCGGGAGCCAAATATTTGTAGATTTGTAACTGGGTCACAGTTTTCGTATAAACACCAACGTAGTATGCAGGTAAATCCAGGCGAAGAGTTCTAGCTAGGACGAAACATGAGACATGAATTCTATTGCTAGCCACATCATAACAAACAATCTTCACAACAACCCCGCAATGCAATTGCATGTGTCCATTAGTGACTAGCTTGGTGAGGAATCTTCTCCGAGTTCTAGTGGGAAGTCGTGACCAGTGAAGTTCAAACCTGTTCGGATATATACAGGGTATGAGGTTGAGCAACTCCATGAATTTGATCAAGTTAGACATTAACACCGTTAGATACCGGCTCAGTGGTCTAACGGTTAGGGCGTTCAATACCGAAGGCCTTGGGTTCGAGTCCTGCGGGGTGCAGGAGTCGTGGATGCGCACTGCTGATGAGTCCCAGGCCAGGACGAAGCCGCCGTCCAGTGCTTCCAGTTTCTAATGGTGGTCTAACATTGACCGATTCATGGTTACAAATAAAATTTAGCCTTTTGAATTATATGTCCCATTTGGGCTTCATTTGCATAACAGAGAATTTATATAAATGTGTTGTTAAATTTGGAATACTTCGTGATAGTACAGTAATAGGAAATGACCAGAAGTGATGTACTGAGAGGAATTCAAACGAGATATATGATAATCAACCAGTAGGAGTTAAACCATAAATTTTCAAGACTAGAAGTTTTAAAAGTTCGAACAAGATCTAATCCCTCAATAAATCTAAACTTTACTACTGATTCAGGATTATTCTCACCGTCTGATGATTTGGAAACTGAGCTAGAATCTCAAGCAATATACCATAAACACAATGAGGCTGATTGTGATTACAAGGCTAGCAAAAAGAGATTGATCAGTTGACAGCTATTCATCTTTGTGATCTCAAATTTCGCTTAAATGGTACTATACAGGATACTAAAGGTTTTTATAAAGAATAGTTTTACGATACTTATTACTTATTACTTTTCTCATTAAATCATACTTCTTGAATAATATTTTCTAATCCTAACCTCTCCGATTACTCCTAATACCTTTACTACCTCTTCTACTATTGGATTTGAATTGACAATTATATCTCTGTGGTGATGTGGTATGGCGACATGAACTGATGTACTTACGTACGAAGTTCTACGTTGCATCTGACTGACTGACTGACTTATTACTATGCGAAGACTAATCTAGGATAAGTATAAATAAATTTACGTTAGAGATATTAATTAGCAAACACTGTATAGCATGAACGAATTGAATTACTCAATGGATATTACTAAATTAAAGCAGATATGAACAAAGCATAGAAAACCACTTACTAAGTCGACTTCTGTTGTAACATATTGAAAGTTACTTGGAACGCTTGCTTCTAATGTAATATTTTCTCCAATAACTTCACCATTTATATGATAAACAAAAGCATTAAACAGCTTTTTCAGTCGTGAATCACCAACAAAATAGAGTCGAACAACGTCACCCCAAGGAGCTAGTCTTTTAAAGCATTTATGACTATCCCTTAATATTTCAATAATTAGCAAGAATAAGAACTTACTGTGATGAATAAGTATGTATCATACAACTGTATGGTCGAAATTCTCCACTGGGCCCTGACCTTCCATCACTCAGTAGAGACTTACACAAATTACCACCTAAAATCAAAAACAGTTCTAAACAGGTACCAGATTTTGTCATCAAAAATCCATGATATATTGATATTATTATCATGAGAAGAAAAGACGTCCTCTTGGCATTTTTGAAATTTAACACTTCTTTTATCGCAGAAGCAGCTCGAGCAGGCATTAATTCTATCAGTTACATGTAAGGAAAATAGTGCTGTGTGAATATGTATTGTACAATCTCAGGTACAGTTGTGCCACAACCTGGAAAGAACAAAGATTTTATAGTGGAAATCTGTTTAAATGAAGTAAAAGGTGATCGGAATGTAGCTCGTTTAAAATGCAGCCATTATGGAATAACTAAATTATTGGATTTATAGGCTATATGGTCACAAAAGCTGCACTATAGTAGCCAAATTACTAGACTTCTCGTTATTATGCTGTGTTTGAACCTAGTTACATCTAATTCGGTCTGAGTAACCAGATAGAGTTACTAGCATTTACATGTATCTTAGGGTTACGTACATAGATAACAGTGTCGAGTTAAATAAACGGTATTTATGATAAACATTGTTCAGCTCATAAAACTGTAAGGGTGAAAATATGTGGGTGGCGCCCTATATTAAAACATGATAAGATGATATTACGCTTTGTTATCATCTTCAGAAAGTAAAGCTTTGAGGGAAGAAAACTGATGAACTTAATGTATGTCACTGGAAATATGCTTTCTGTTGCATGATTAAAGTACAGATAACCTATTTACTGTGAAATAAAATAGTCTTACTGAATAAAATAATTTGATATATTGATTTCATAGTGAATATTGAAACAACTTACTCAGCAGATTAGTTATTTATTTCGCTAGCACTGTATACCGACGAATTAACAATTTGATTAAGACTAATTCAAGGTTAAAACTAAGACTTAGGGATTAGGTTTTGAGAATTGAGGTTAATCACCCGCCATATTTAGAAAGGACAGTGGTATTTTTCCTTGCTAAGTTAAAATTATAGTTTTAGTCGCTATTACGCGTCAAAACTACCGTCTTTCACTCTAATCGAATTAATTTCCAGTTAAATTAAAAGCAAGAGTATTTCTTTTCCTAAGCGTAATTTTGAATCGGTATTTTATAGAATCGATTGGTTATTTTTTTCTGCACGTTTGGACTTAACAATCTACGGTTCACCATACTCTGGTTAACGGTTTTGTCTTTACGTGTCTGTTTAATTTAGAAACCTCTTCTCGATGATTGAACACTACAAAAAAAGCATGTACCAACGATTGGGCTGCCAATATCCTGTTGAAAGTGCAAAGGGTGTTGTTTGCACAAATCTTACACCTTCAACTTACAAACGGTTCGACAAAAAGGAATGTGTTTGGTTGTCATCAATGCTGTTCGGATGTAAAGAGCTTTCTATCTGATGTCACTGCAATGGTGAACGCTGCCAAAAGGCATATTAGCAAGCGACATCGATATATTTCGAGTGATGTCTGATCGACCAACACACAAATCAGCGTAGAGACATCCCATTCAAACCAAGGTTCGAGTGTCCTAAATTGGTTAAAGGATAGAAAACCGACTCCAAAGACGTCCACGAGGAATAAAACCTCAAAGGATTAGGTTTCTTTTGTGCCGCGTCCTGTAAGTAGCGGTAGCCAAAAAACACCTTAGAAATCCAATCGTAAGGCTACGTCTGTCCCTAGCAGAAGCAACCTGAATACTCAAGTCATCCTGCATCACCCAGGATCTCATACTGTGTGCAATGAAGCTGTGATTGCCACTTAAGTGAAAGTTGATCAGTCGGTACGAGTCATGAAAAAGAAACGATCAAGTCTTTAAGAAAATGCCAATTCTTACAAGAGCATTCCCGAAACCGAAGATTGATCACAGTAACAGGTCAGTAGTTTTTCACAGTGTAAAGGAGAGTGAAAGCTCTGAGACTAAAATCCGCTTCAAGCATGACATCGGTTAGATAAAAGATTTGATAAATAAGCAAATGTCTCAAGACATCCATGGAGTGACCTTGCCGAAACTTTGTAGACTAGGAAGTATAACGGACACACAAAGAAATCAGATTAGGTTGCTTAAATTAGTTTTAAATCTTCCACAGAAAGGGACTTAATACTACAGAATGAACATTAACTAAACGGATAAGAAGTTTTTTCATGCGTAGAAACGTATCATTCGCAGACCGCATTAGAAAACGAGGGGCCAAAAAGAACTGAAATTAAGGATAGAAGTTGGGGAAAAGGACTAGAGAATCATAAATCTTCTGGCAGTGAGACTTGTACAAGGAAAATATGCAGCTTAGTTGGATGATTGTTGTGAAGTTTTGTTCTGTGAGCTGGATGTTTTGATAGTGCAGCGATAACTACATCGGGAAAAGTTGACACTCTCTTCAGCTTCGTCTGCATGAACATCGATTAGCAGTTATGCGTCATGGCATTTTCTCCCTTATATCAATACATATGGATAACTATAGATATACATAAGATAGAAACAGTGTTGAAATACTGGATATGGTAACTGTAAAGTACACTAGAGAATTTTTGGAAGTTTGGCACTCAGGTCAATCAGCAATCAACAAACACATCGACATTGATCCAATTTATCAACCAATCAAAAAAATCATGGACAAACATAGGATCAAGAAACCGATCAAACGGGGATACAATCAAAACAAAGATGCAGACAACGACAAGTTTAAGGTCAACAACAACCAATCAAGATTGAGGTTAGCAGAACAAGCTACAGGTCAAACGTGGAGAAATTCGAATGCTTCACTTCTATGTGAAGTTTGTGCTGATGATGTTGTTCAGAAGAACAACTAAAACATCCAGCTCACGGAATGAAACCGTACCACAAACAAAGAATAATGCAGACACCACTTTGGGTGCAGCTCTAAGTCATTTAATTAGTATTCGTGTCCGCTACACACATGCTTGGAGCTTCCTCAACAAGCGATCTGGGCTAGGTGTACTGAACTAAGCCCGACGTAATCGCCATTGCAGAAACACGGCTGACTCAGTCTGTAGACAATAAAGAATTTGGTTTTAAAAATTCCATCTTGGATAGAAGCGACAAGGTATAGTAGCGTAAAGAAGGAACAGCCTCATTCACTAGAAATACCAACCGCTTTTATCGTTATCGATAATATATCCGATTATAGTTGGACGTGCAAATTACTTAGCTGCCGCTCCTAGTGTAAAGGATGAGAGTTACTGGTTGGTTTGCTTTTTCACAGACCAAACTAAGACGTGAATGAAGTCATGTTAGACAAACTCAACACTTGGAATTTAAGTGGTTGATATTTGATTTCGGGAGACTAATGTACTTATTGTAGAGTGGGAAAACCTAAGGACTAAATTGTCAGCAAATTCTTTCGAACAGAAAATAGATGACGCGGTTATTGAAAGTGCCCCAGTGCAACATGTAAAAGAAGCAACTACGTACGATTCGGATTCCGAACTATCCTTAATAGACCTCATATTCTAAGGATGATGTCTCAAACCTCCATTATATCCACCCGTGGGTAAGAGTTATCATACAACTAGTCTTTGATTTCCATATCGTTATCAACAACAGTGTGTCGGCTCAGGCCAGACCAAATGTTTGGAGAGCATATGTACGAGACATCATACAATCAGTAGACTGAATACTAGAACCAGAATCTCCCAATGAAACAACTTGGGAGGTATTCAGAAATTTGTACTGCGCAGCAAGTCCCTTGGGCTACACCGAAGAATCTAGGAAATTCTCCCATCGAGGCTCAGTAATGAGGTTCTTACCCTTCTCTGTAAGAGAAAAAGAATGTGGGGGAATTCAGGACATTTGACACTAATGAGACAAAATCTCAATATACGGAAGCCCGAAATATTTGTCCTGACACTCCATAAGTCTAGAAAATTGCATGAAAAAAAGCTTGTCACGGTGCTTATTGAGAACCCAAGACGCTTATAATCGTACATAAGCCAACGGACTAAGAGAAGAGGCAGCATCTCAGCAGGGGAGAGAATAGCACTACCTCACTTGCAGAAGCCGACTATATATTCTCGAACTACTTTATTGATGTTTATACTATAAAGATGGATACAAACAGCTAGTTTCCCGAGTGAGAAAAGACAGTGAATTGTTCGAAAAGGTCTAAAGAAGCGCAACTAAGTTAATTCGTGGAGTCCCACAGCTGCCTCATGAAGAGAGACTGGTTAAAATAAACCTGTTTCGTTTATCATATAGAAAGACCAGAGGTAACTTACAGACAGTTTTTAAATTAGTGAATAATAAGTTTGAATCTGATGTCGCTCCATTTTTCTTGCCTTTCAAAACAGAAAATTTACGAATACACTAAAAGGTTTCACAAGGCCAGAACTGGTAACTTGTCAGCTAACCGCCGACGCTACATATGCTGACGGATTTAAGAGGAAGCTGGATTAACTGAGATATCAATGCTACTAAGACTAACGCAGGCTATCCGGCCTTTCATTCTTTCCAAACTGAAACTTACTCAATACTAATGAGACTAATTCAATGTTGAAATCGAGACATAAGGGTACGGGTTGGGTATTAACGTTAATGCGGTAAGTAGTTGTAATTAGAATTCGGATCTAGAACTAGGTCCTATGACTAGTCTTAAGGATGTTATGGACATTCAAGGTTTGACAACGCATTTGTTCGCAAAAATTATGATCGAAAATCCTAAACACAACTGAATCAGAATTCGGGACCGACGAGTTTAAGATATATTTGGAAATTAGTCATTATGCTACGAAAAGAGTAGCATGAATCACTAGTTGATGCGGGGGACGCATCCAATCGTGATCTAATGCAGTAGAGAAATAGAGCTTATTGTGCGTCCAGTAAGACTGATGAGTTCAGTGTTATCTTAGGGATTTACTTATCACTACAGTCTATACGTGCCAACCTTTAGCCATAGTTATAATAAAATTCTAGTCTCGACT